TTATTTGCCCAAAGTATTCCGTATGGCGGTACGGGCGTTAAGGCCGTATCCGTATCTCGGGTTCCACTCTCCATTCTGCACCGAACGATGGATGGATGGATGGATGGATGGATGAATGGATGTGCATGGATATGTGTGCATAGATTTCCACCGTTTCGTTAGCTCCTTTTTATTTGGTTATTTGTTGCATGAGTAATGGGGCATCTCCTCGGCTGCCTACCTCCCTGCCTCCCTCCCTCCTTCTCCGCTGCTGCTGCTGCCGATGCAAATGTACTGCGGATACAGATACAGAGAGTATCTGTATCTTTAGTGCATATATAAATAGTATTTCAGTTGAACGCACATCCAAAATAGCAAAAGCAAAGCATGGAGGAGGGGGAAGGGGGCCAGGGGCACCCGTTTCGTATTGTATTTCGAAAAATGTTGTTAAAATTGACACAAAATCAGAGACGAGCAGAAGGAGGAGTCGCCTCCGTTGAGACAAAGGCCCCAGCCCCAGCCCCAGCCCCCGAGCGGCCTTTCATTCACTGAATCTCTGGCTGTGTGAATGGGCCAGAGAGAGAGGGAGAGAGAGACGGGGAGAACGAGAGAGCGAATCCGCAAATCCGTAGCCCCAAAAGTCGGAGACTGAAGCGAGTGTTTCCCTGCGATAGCAGCGCAAATACATTTCATTTCGTCAATGCGCATACAATTACTTCCAGCAAACTGCTTGCAAAATTAAAATTAAATTACGAGCCAGATATTCACCTCCAAGACGGTAGGGGCGAAGAGGGGCGAAGAGGGGCCAAGGGGGGCCAAGGGGTGGTGGGCAAAAGTTCATTAAGTTATAGATGACGTGACGTGGTAGTTGACACGAAAAACGACCCGAGAATGGGGCACCACAAAGGCTCGATGGAGGGGTGGCGGGATGGTTGCCTGAGAGGAGGGGTGGGTGGCGCGGTGGCTGCCTGAGAGGAGGGGGTGGGCTGCCTGGGTGGCCACCTAAGAACATCATTAAGTAGCTGCAAGACAATCGTGCCAATCATTAAAAATCTTTGGGCCACAAGCTAAAGTCAAACGCTTTTGTGAGTGGCTGAAGCCGAGGCCGGGACGGAGGCCGAGACGGAGGCTGCAATGCGGATGCTTTTCCCTCAGATCTTCTGCAGCTATCAACACGTTCCACAGACTCTGCCACTGGTGCCACTGGTGCCACTGTTGCCGTCGTCGACCTGTCTAAAGCAGCCTCTAACTATGCTGTTAGACCCCGCCCCCACGCCCCACCCCCCCACCCCCCAACCCCCCATGCGCATGTTTATAGACGCCCTAGATTAGGTCTTTGTCAGCAAATTTCGAGTGTGTACTGTAGCGGAGGAGAGGCATATGCCACATGCCACATGCCACATGCCTCGTGTGTGTGTGTGTGTGTGGGTGTGCTCGAGTGGCGATAGCTGCGAAAAATCCAAAGCATAAGCTTTTGGCGCGAGTGGAAGCAGCCCACTTGAGGCACAGTGCAGTACAGCCCAGCCCAGCCCAGCCCAGCCCGACTGTTCCGGCCTGCCTCCAGTGGCTGCAGTGGCTTCGGTGGCAGCCCAGGACGCCAGCGAGAGACTTGGCCTGGCCCAGCGGTAAGAGGCAGGCGGTAGGAGGCAGGAGGCAGGAGGCAGGAGGCAGGCGGCAGGAGGCACAACAACTGCAGTGCCCGCCAGCCAGCGGTGGCGCAACGAAATCAAAAGACAAGACACAGCAGGCCATCGCCGAGGGCTGAAGGCTCGGACTTTCGGGTTCTTTGAGCCCCAAATGGCAGCTAATTGAATTGTTTTTGGGCCTGGCTGGACTGCTGGCCTGCTGGACTTCTGGACTGGTAAACAACAACAAAATTTACATGCTTGGAAAGGTATTCGAGGGTTTTCTGTTGATTCGGATACAACCGATTCGTAACCGATTCATTCATAAGATTCTTAGCCGATTCAAAGCCCATTCCTAGCCGATACGTAGCCGATTCATAACCTATTCATAACCCATCCACAACCGATTCATTCATAAGATTCATAACCAATTCATAGCTGATTCTTAGCCGATTCAGAGACGATTTATAGCCAATTTATAGCCGATTCGTAGCCGATTCGTAGCCGATTCATAGCCAATTCATTCATAAGATTCATAACCGATTCACAGACGATTCATAGACGATTTATGGCCGACTTAAAGCCGATTCATAGACGATTCATAACCGATTCGGTAGACGATTCATAGTCGATTCATTAGTTCTTTGAATTTGAGTCCAAGGACACAATATTCTGGCAGCAAAGGCCAGTATTTATGAGATATTTCAGTAGTTTTGCCACAACCGATTCATAGCCGATTCATTAAACGTTTACTAGAGCCAATAGAAACCATATTCTGGCAGTAAAGACCATCTTAAAGGCTTAACATGGCCAAAAACATAACCGATTCAAACCCCTTTCAAGCCCGTTTCGTTAAAGGGCTATTTGAATCAAAGAAAACTATATTCTGACCCAAAAAAAAGCCTTTAAAGAACAGTTTTCGTTGATTTTTAGACGCAGGAAACCAAATCCAAGAAACCCCCCCTGGAAGGTGGGAAAAAAACGTATTATAGGCGCTACTCAAACGATATCTATAGGGATTTCTACCTGTACTATACGATATGGCCACAATCCGAACTCCCGCCTGGCATTCGTGGCACAGTAGGCCCTCGATTTGTTGGGTCAATCAACTGCATTGTCTGGCATTTTTTAGGGTCATTATTTAAATTGGCGATTGATAACCGATGCGGCCCAACCCCTGGCACGTGCCACTCATTGACCCCGCCTGCAATTGCCCTTCCCTTCCCTTCGCTTCCCCTTCGATTCGATTCGATGCCATTGCAATTGACTTCTTGGCCATGTCTCGAAGGAGTCTCTTCCGCCAGAAAGAGACAATTTTTTACGCCCATCGTTTGCGGGTTTTTCTCGCGGGGCGGCGGGTAGGGGCGGTGTGGGGGGGGGGGGGGGGGGCTAATTTACCAGGCAGCTCCATTGGGAGGGGAGGGACCAAAAAGGCGGCTGCCAAGAGCGAAAATAAAAATTAAAAAAGATATAAGACACACAGACAAACACACGTCCGAAAAATGGCCAAAAGATAACAAAAGAGAGACAGAGAGAGAGGGAGAGAAAGAGAGAGAGAGAGGCAAAAAAACACTACACTCGGCAAAGGGTAGAGGGGGACTGGGGAAGGGGCAAGGGGCAAGGGGGGGGCATTGAAGAAGCCATTTGAAAATTTGAAAATTTTTTGGCACAGGTACAGGAAAAACCTACACCCCTTGCTGCCCCAGCCCCAGCCCCTGCTTCAGACCCTGCCCCTGCCCCTGCCCCAGCCCCTGCCCCTGCCCCACTCCTACAAAAAAACAAAAAAACTGAGAAAAAGAGACAAACCCAAAGACCGCATTGACTCTTCAACTATTGCTGCCGCATTTGTGCGATTGTATGGGTACGTATCTGTATCTGTATCTGTGCTCGTGTATCTGTGCTCGTGTATCTGTAGATATGCGCTATAGGTTATAATATGTTAGCGTAATGCCCCGGACGGAGCGACGGAGCGACGGAACGACGCGAGTGGCACACGGCTCTGCCGATGATGGGCGGAGCCAACAAATTCGCTAAACAAAAAACAAGCGCGCTCGACCCCAACGCCAGCAGCAGCAGCAGCAGCAGCAACAACACAAAGCGTGTGTATGTATCTGTGTATCTATGTATCTGCGTATCTGTGTGTGTGCACTGCAGATGTGTGTTGGCGGTGGCGGCGGCTCTAAGGGCTCCCAAAAGGCAAGCGCATCTTGCCAGACGACTGTTGCAATCCCTACTGTGGGGTTTCCCCCCCCCTCCTCCCCCCTTGACTGGTTTGTATCTTTTTCTGTCGGAGTGCCATCCAAAAATTTGGTTAATATGAATGCTCGGAAGCTGTGGCTGTGGATCTGCCTTTTGATTAGTCTAATGAAACTATGCGGCAGAGGGAGACACCCCCCCTACCCCCTCCGACATTTGCATCTGCATCTCTCCATTCTCTGTGTATCTTTGCATCTTTCAGGCCTCCACAATTGAAAAAAAGGGAGCAAATCTCAAGCATTTGATCAATTACAATTTCAATTTAAAGGCTAGCCCTCCCCCCCCCCCACCCCCTCTCCTTGTGTATCTCCATGTTCTCCCGCTTCTACTTCTCTATTGATTCATTGTTTTCTCAATGAGAAAACAAGAAAACGAAACCAATGAAAACGGGAATCAATTCGTCTCGTTTTTATGGCAATTCAAATTGAGATACAAAATTCAGTTAGATATACAGCAAATAGATACGTTCCCCCCCTGCCATCCCCATCCCCAGGCGGGAGAGAAGTGTAGACTTTCGACTGTGGAAAACCTTGAAAAGGTGCCGTGTTTATTCGTGCTTTTTTCCCTCCTCTGAAAGAGCTTCGGTTTCCCATTTGATTTAAGAGAAATCTACATACATCTGTATCCCATATTCAGGTATCTTTTGAGTAGTAGATCGTGTATTTCTGGCTTAGGAAATCGAAGCATGCCAAGTGCTTTCCAAAGAGACTCCAATCTTTACCTTTTCTTTGTTTTCCAGAAAGAAATCTAGCCATAAATGCCCTAAAAACCCTCGAAATTGAGCAGATTTTCTCTGGTTTTTCTTTCAGATTTGCTTTCCTTGGATTTAAGAGAAGGGAACTTCCCGGCCTTTCGAAGCCCCCCCTGAAAACTCGTCGAAAATCTTCGATTCGAATCCGATCTTCAATCGTTTTTGTAACACCTATGTGGAAAACCTTCAGAAGGTCTTTTATCTCGTCTTGCCGGGCATTTGGATTGGCGATTTCCTGGCTCTCTTGTTAGCAAAGGATCGACAAAGTGCATCCGCAGTTGCTAATTGCGACGACCCCCTTTCGCAGGGGCCTTTCCATGCCACGAATTGTGGCACCCGCCAGCTAATTGTCAGTTAAGTTTCAGTTAAAACAAAAGATTGAGACTCACCTGGACTCGTCTGCCAACTGAGGCCGCCAATGAACATTTTGCTGCAACGAGAAAGATGATAAATGAGGCAAGAAATTAGATAAATGTTGGGGCTATTGGAACAAGAAGACTGCCAGACGAAATGTCTTTTATTAATTCCTGCAGCAAGGCCCGCGATGGAGAGGGGGGAGGGAGAGGGGCACCCTTGTGGCATCATCATCATCATCATCATCTTGATGTCTCTGTTGTCTTCATCATGATTTAAATCATAGAAAATAAGCCGCTTTTCCCGGGCATTGTTTTTCAGGCTGGAACAAAAATCTCACCCGCCACTCATTCTCCCACAGGTTACCACTCCCCCCCCCCCCCCCCCCTCCCGCTCACCCCCCTGTACCCCCCTTTACCGTCTAGACCCAGACCCATGGCTTATGCAACAAAGGAAAAAAAAGAAGTCGTTGATTTTGTGCCAAGCAACAGATGCCCTCTCTCTCCCTCTTTCTCTCTGTGTGTCTCCTCAAATGAGAGAAGAATTCGTGTGGGGGCTTTTATTTTGTATTTACAAAAAAAAGAGTGATGATTTTAGGGCGTATTTTAGGGGAATTCCACAGTCAGATCTACGTTTTGGGGGATACTTTGTAGGGAAACTGAGGGATCTATTCATCAGGTCTCGCCAGGGTCTCGATTCGGGGGCCCTTTTGGTGGAATCATTCCATACAGATTCGTCTTTCCATCATCTATCATTTATAGGCATCATTGTGCCTTTCCCTCCATCATTCCATCATCTTTCTATCATCATTCTAAGGTCATTCGATCATTCCAGCATGGTCTTTCTTTGGTATCATCAATTCTTGAGGCATACCCCCTGGCTCTGTGGCAGAGAGTGATTCTTCGCACATCTATCCCCCTTCGGAGGATATAGCCCAGAAGGAAGTCCCCTATTCTATGGCAGTGATTCGTCTAGTCCCCTCTGAAACATCTAAAACTAGATCCCCTTGACAAGCTCCTCTGAAAGACTGAGGGACTCTCTCCCTGGAAGACCACAAATATAGTGTATGGGGGGAAAACAAAAGGCAAAGGCTCTGTGCCCAAAACGAAAGTAGGCGGCAGTAACGACGACGACGACGACGACGACGACGACGACGACAATGATTATGAAAACTTCAACAAACTGCAAAAGAGCGCAACAGTGGCCTGCAACATACAACGAAAACGGTGGCAGCAAAGGGAAGTGGCAGTGGAAGTGGACCAGCCAGTAGTGGGGGAGGGGGCGGGGGCTAGTGGGGGGGGAGTGGCAATGTTGGTGGCGACACGAAAAACGAATGTAAAACACACACAAAAATGCATAGAAACACAAATTGCAATGAAAACCAAAATAAAAAGGGCGGGGGGCGAGGAGGTGTACTGCCAGAGGGAAAGAGAGGCAGAGAGAGGGAGACAGAACTAAATGAAAATGTTAATAAAATGTGCAACAACAAGAGCTGCAACAGCAGCGGCAGCGGCAGAGGCAGAGGCAGCAACAAAAGAGTAACGAAAGCTAAAAGAAAAACTAAACCAAAGAACGGAAGAAGCGTCGAACTGCAGCAGGAAAAGCAGCTGGAAAATGGTCGGAAAAAGAGGTGGGTGGGGCGGGCGGGGGGCACAGAAAACCCCCGTGAAAGTAGGCCTCGGAATTCAAGTAGTTTTTCGGGAAAGGCCCCCCCCCCCCCCCCACCACCCCCCACCTACGACAGACTCTGTCATTAATCAATGTTTTCTGTATTTTGCAGCCGATTTTCCGGGCGATTTCCCAAAACTGGTTTTAGATGCGAGTTTTTCCTTGGGAACTCCCTTCATTTTCCATGCCACACAATCAATCTTCATGGAAAAGTCGAGATATCGCAAAGAGAGAGGGCGAGGGGAGAGGGGGGGTTGGGGAAAACTAAAACTAGAAGATGCCCCAAAATATGTTGCAAATTTGGTATTTTTTAAGCAGATTTTCGATCTCATTCATCATTTTTCGAGGGGCTCCATCGATTCGCGGGCTTTTCATTAAATTTTCCCCTCTCTCTCTCTCTTTTTTGGTGTTGTTGTTTTTCCGAAAGATCTCATCATTCATCGGCCCCACCCTCTTCACCCTCCCCCCTTCGTTGGTCGCTGGCGAAATGGTCTCCTGATGCTGCTGACTGATCCACAAATATTTGTATTCATTTCATGATAATTCTCTTTGCTTTTGCCGCTTGCAGCATTGTCTGTGGGGCACCGGCGGTGCCCCATTGGTTTTGTGCACCGCGGGTGACCTTCGAACGCACTTCTCTACCCCCCCCTCGTCGCCTCCTCGTCGCCAGCCAATTGCGAGTGCACCAAATAATGCGCGCGACCTTGTCCCAAACTGGCAATCAGTACGAGACCTGCCACCACCCGCCGCCCCCCCCCCCCCCCCCCTGCGCACACCCTCCCCAGGCAGAACGTCGCGTTGTTCAGCGTCCAGCTGTGTGACGCGTAATTTTGCAAAAAAAAACACACAACAGATTGGGGCGGACAGGAAAAGGGGTGGCCGGGTGGGGCAGGGGGGGGTGGCAGGGGTAAAAAAGTGTCAAAGTCAACGCTGAATACTGTCTAAAGCAATAGATTCATTCCGTTCGTTCCGTCGTTTCGTATCGTTTTTGCCGTTGCAAAAGATTACGAATACGCAGTGGTGTCTGCCTTCTCCTTCCCCTCCTCCTCCTCTTCCGATTATCTGTTCCTTTGGGTGTCTCCCTCCCCTCCCCCAAGGTGGGTCCCGCGGGTGCCATGCTACCAGAGAGCTTTGATGACATTTGCCTTTGTCTTTTACAACATATCTCCTGCCACTGCTCCTGCCCCCGCCCCCGCCCACGCCACTGCTCCTGCTCTAGCTCCCGCCTCTCTTCCCCTCTTATGGCATAGCTCCCCTTTGGGGCATGGCATTGCCGGCTTATACTACAGTTTTCGCAGCTATTTACAGATTTGCCACAAGTCTCCATCTCCTCCTCCTCCTCCTCCTCAGACACACACACAATCCTCCCTCCCCTCCTCATGTGTGGAGTAGGTTGAGTGTGGTTTAGGGGGGGCTGGGGGCGCCAGTTAGTTGGTTCGTGGTTAGGGGGGGAGGGGGAAGGGAGGGTTGGGGCTGCGCTAAGCTTACGAGTCATAAACAAGTCAACGCAACATGTCCGATTAGTAGTGCAACCACCGACGACTGGCATTTGTCACCCACAGCCTAAGCCACGAGCGTGTGGGCGTGTGGGCGGGGGGAGTGGCAAGAAGATGCTGCCTGCCACACGACGATTATTCCTTGCCTTCCTGCCTGCCACCGAACTCTAATCTGCACTTGCAGAAACAAATCCCCACACAAAGATCCTTCAGACGAGCGAGAGGGACAGAAGAGTGATATATGGGGGACCCCAATGAGGCAGGCAGGCCAGGATCCAAAGGATCCCGTGCGATCTGCCGCTAATCTATCTCTAAATTTCAATTAATTCCCGTGCCCGCAGTTTTGTATCTTTTTGTCGAGTGTATCTGCCATCGAATGCCGCTCTATGGCCTGCCGCGGGGGGGGGGCATGGTGGGGGGCATGGGGGAGGTAGAGCCCTGCTGCTCTGCTGCTCGGTCACATTTGCTTGCATTACGAAATAATTGTAAAGCGCACGTCACTTTTCTATAGGCCTTCGTCTGTCTATCCAGTTCCGCCCCCCTCCTCCCCCTCCCCCCCACACTCTGGGGCAACAGCAGCAGCAGCACTCTTGGGCCATTCATGCGCAAGTCGTCATCCATCGCCCCATTCACGGAGGCCCATGTGCCTGTCCCGAACCCGTACACAGACCCGGACCCAGACCCGGACCCGGGCCCGGTCTCGGGCTCGGGCTCCGTTCAGCGAGGTTTTGGCTTTGTGCTTGACGCCCGCCACTGCCACTGTCTCTGTCTCTGTCTCTGGCTCTGGCTTTGCCTCAGTCTCTGCCACTGCCTCTGCCACTGCCACTGCCACTGCGCTGACGTTCGCTTTGCCGCTTGTTTGCCATTCAAAATCCGTTCAGACTTTTGTATGCACATCACAAGTGTTGCCCTCTCGCTTCTTCTGCATTAAATTTGCATATAATGCCATCTCTCTCTGCCCTTTCTTTCTTCTCTCCCTCTCCCTCTCCCTCTCCCACTCTCCCCTCTATCGCTATCTCCCTCGCGCTGCACTAGTTGACGTTTTCTATTGTGGCTTCATTGTTGAATAGAAAAAATGTGCAAAATAGTAACGAAAAAAAAGAAACGAAAAGAAAAGAAAAATAGCAAAACAGCCAGAGGGGCAGCACCTCCACGCTCCACCCCCCCCCACCATGCCACACACGCATGCTGCTGCCACACGCGCTGCCTCTTGCCGCCGCTGCATCTCCACTGCGTGGACGTGGACGTGGATGCCATGCCGCTTACATGGAAATAAAAGTGCAGATCTTGTAACTTTAGTAATTTTTCACATGACAAATTATGTGAGCGGCGACCAGAGCGGGACAAGGTGCAGGAGGCGACGGAGGAGTACTGTGTCGAGAGGCCAACAAAGGGGAGCAATGGGGGCGGGGCGGGAACAGACAGACACTCGTGGAGCACCACCAGCAGAGAGGGAGAGGCCATCCAAAAGGCGCCGAGTTGTGGCTTTTGAAAGCGGACAGAGTCCGCATTATGCAACAATGTGTGGCAGGCGGCATTAGAATGTATAAAACATTAAATAACTTTAAGGGCATGCCTTTAAGGTGGGGAAAGGAAGTCCCTGGAACCCGTACCCCCTCTCCACCAAGCTCTGGCCCCCAAAAGGTGTGTTGGGGCAACAGATTTAAGTCCCGTATCGTGACTCCTCTCACACACCAACAAAATTATAAAGCGATTTTTCCGTGCTGCTAAAAGCCAAACATCGAGTAAAATCCAATGCACATTTTATTTCATTATTTTCATTGCCTCGTCCCCACAAAATCCTCTGGACAATTTGACTCCCGCCAGGCCCAAAGCGACGCAGCAGCAGGAGGAGGAGGAGGAGGAGGAAGAGGAGGAGGAGGAGGAGGAGGAGGAGGAGGAGGAGGAGGAG